GCCGCCGCCGCCGCCGCAGCAGCAGCAGCAAGGTGCGGCACATAACAGCCTCGTCATCGACGGCAGTGGAGCGCGTGTACCCACGCAGTTCCTCGACTCGAGCGGAGGCTTCTCACGGCCCAAGCCCCCGCACGGGCCCAGCGGCTCGGCTGGCCCTCCAGCTGCATCCGCTCCACCCGCTGCTTCGCCCGCTTCCATCGCCATCCCGGGCGCTTATCCGCAACCCGGGTCATCAAGCTCAATGCACATCCAGCAACGACACACAAAGCCATCCATGGCAGCAGCAAAAGCTACACCCATTGACCTAACGCTGAGCAGCGACGAAGAAGACGATGTCGATGATCGCAAGCCCACCGCTTCCGGCTCGAATGGCAAGGTCGCTGCCCACGGCAACTTGACCTTGCCCGGCGCAACCAACGGCCACGCAAGCACAGGGTCTGCACCTGCGTCCTCTTCCTCCGCCGGCGCCAGAGCAGTCGTGCCTATCGACGATGACGACGACGATGACGACGAGGTCACCCTCGTTTCGCACAAGCGACCCGATCCAGAGGAGTTCGAGATCGACCATGTCAAGTCCAACGCCATCGTCTGCGCCGGCCTCATCAATGCCGTCGTCCTCTGCATACATGGCATCCCGCCTGCTCTCACCTACAACGGCTCAATCGGTCAAGAGCCTCCAGAGGATCCAAATCTCAGCCGCGAGAATTGGCCCACTGCCACGCACTTCTGGATTGAAAAAGGCTACAGGCCGCTACTGCTCACCCTCTCCAATCCAGCCAACATGCTGCCGTCCACTCGCACGCTCCCGGGCGGCTGGTCTTACACTGCCATGCCGCAAGCACGTCGCGATATCAACGTCAGCGTCATCCTTCCGCCACGCACCGCACATCCCAGTCTTTCTCTTCAGGACGCCCTCGCACAAGGGCACGCCATCGAACCGTCGTTCGGCGCGCTCGCAGAAAAGTACGTCATCGCACTCGAGCCTCTGCTTCGCCAGAACAAGGTCCGTTGTGAGACACGCTGCCGCATGGTGCCCGTAGGCCGTGCGCAGAACTTCCTCCATTACCTCGAGATCCTCGTCTTCACCAGAAGGCCAGACCTGGGCGTCGTCTCGGACCAGCTGTCCGCACACGGCATTCAGCTCGAGCATCCTCCTTCCTACCATCCGGAAGACTACCCGACAGAGCCTCAGTACACCAACCCGCACAATCCGCCCGCAGGTGGAGTGCGCAACGACCCTGGCATCTACAACGGCATCTATCGAGGTGCAGGCATCGGCACCAGCGTCCAGAACCGCGAGCTCACAGAGAAGGAGAAGAAGGCACAGGTCGATGCCATCTACAGCAGCATCCGCAGTGGTGAAGAGCTGGCAGCCGTCGAACCATCGCACTTCATCTCCACACGCCTATTACAGCACCAGAAGCAAGCGCTTGGCTTCTTGCTGAATCGCGAGAAGGACCGCCGCTGGCCCGAGCTTCTGCTGGAGCGAGACGAGGCAGCGCCTGAAGCGGGAAACACACCGCCAAAGGAAGAGAAGCAGTCTCCGGACGTCAAGGGGAAGAAGTCGAGTCCGGGCTCCAGCGCTTCCTCCAAGAAGGACCGAGGCAAGAAGAAGGACGACGCATACGACGACTCGATCTCGCTGTGGAAGGTGCGCAAGGGCGTCAACGGCAACGTGCGCGCATGGCGAAATCTCATCACCAACAGAGAGACGCTCACGCAGCCCCGCATCTGTCGTGGTTCCATCCTTGCCGATGACATGGGTCTCGGCAAGACCATCACGACGCTCGCTCTCATCGCTCATACGCTGTCGGAAGCCAAGGCATTCGGGTCCGCCAAAGTGCAACGCGATGCGGGTGCCGAGCTGCAAGCCGCCATGCAGCTGCGTGATACCTCGAACGACAAATCCTCCCCAGGCAAGGCCGTTGGCGGTGTCAAAGCAGAGGTTGCGAGTGGCAGCAATGGAAAAACGGACAAGCAGAAGCGTCAAGCCAGCGAATCGTCCTTCGACGACGATGAGTTGAGCTACACCGATACAAACGAGGACAGCAACACGAGTGGATCCATGTCGATGGCTGTCCACAACGCTCCGCAAGCTGCCAAGAAGGCGTCAACCTCTAAGCCCAAAGGCCGCAAATCGAAGAAGGACAAGGCTGATTCCGAGAAGCTGCGCCGCCAGCATCTCGAGTGCCGCAGCCGCGCCACGCTCATCGTCTGCCCGCTTTCGGTCATCTCGAACTGGGAGGAGCAATTCAAGGAGCACTGGACAAGACGCAAGCGGCCATCCATCTACATCTACCACGGTCCGTCGCGTGCCACGAACGCCAAGTGGATCGCCAACCACGACATTGTGCTGACGACCTACTCCACGCTCGGGTCCGAATTCGCCAACCAGACCACCTGGGTCACAGACGACAGCAAGGCCGACGGCAAGAAGCGCGGTGGCAACAAGGGTGGCAATTCATCGGACGACGACAACGAAGGCCACGAGGACGATGTCCTCGTTGTCAACGGCAACGGCATCCCCTTGCAAGACGAGGCCGGTAAGAACGGCAAGAAGCGCAGGCGCAAGCCAGCAAAGGAAGCCTACAACCCGCTTCAGCGTATCGAGTGGTTCCGCGTCGTACTGGATGAGGCGCACCAGATCAAAGGCGCCTTAACGTGGCAGTCGAAAGCCGCGTGCAACTTGACGGCGCAACGCAGACTCTGTCTTACAGGCACGCCGATCCAAAACACGATCGACGATCTCTTCGCCCTCGTCAAGTTCCTGCGGTTAGATCCTTTCACCGAACGCGCCATGTGGAACGAGTTCTGCGGCCATCGCGAGTCGACCGGACTCAAGTCCAAGAAGGACGATGAGCCGATCGACTCGGCCAACCTCGGCCACGTGCAGATCCTGATGAAGTTCCTGGCGCTGCGAAGACAGAAGACCACCAAGACCGCCGACGGCAAGCCGCTGCTCGCGCTGCCGCCGAAGCTCAGCAAGACGGAGTATCTCGACTTTGAGGAAGCGGAGAAGGCGCGCTACCAGGCGCTGCACAATCTGTACCGCGAGGACTTCGAAGAGATGATGGCGAAGGACACCGTCAACAATAACTACGCCACCATCTTGACGGAGATCTTGAACCTGCGCATGACTTGCGACCACCCATCTTTGGTGGATGCCAGCAAGGACGCGAGGCGCAGGGCGGCGGGTGCGGACTTATCCGAGGCGATCAAGCAGGACGGACTCAGCCGCGAACGGGCTGCAATCCTCTTTCTTCTGTTCCGCGACAGCGAAATGGCATACTGCTCGGAATGCCAGTCGCCCGTGTCGCCGGGAACTGACCGCGACAGAGCTGGCGACGATGCACGGGATCTGGCCGACGCGCTCGACGTGGCAGCCGCGGACGGCAGAGGGTCGACTAAGCGTGCCAGAACCGACGCAGCCTCTTCCGAGTCGACGTCCGCGACCATGTCAAGAAACGGACTCGAGACGCCTGCCGAAGGGGCTGCTCGGCCCGTGCTGACGCGATGCCAGCACTTGTACTGTGCGCCGTGCTTCCGACGCCTGATCGGCTTCCCGTGGCCGGAAGTGAGCGCCTCGGACGTGGGTCACTGCCCGACGTGCAACTATTCCCTCAAGCTTGCCATCGATGCGGTGGAGCTGCATCCGTCGGACTTTGTCGATATCTACGACGACCAGGGCGAGCTCGCTGCTGATGGCGAACGCTTCTCTGACGATGAAGGTGTCTCGAGCAAAGGCAAGGCGAAGTCGGGCAAGAACGAGGCGGACGACTTTTTTGACTGGGGAAGCGGCGATGAAGAACAGCCGTCCAAGCCAAAAGCGCAGCGCAAGAACGGCGCGTCCACCGCGGACCCCTCGACCGTCCAGCGTGGCGACTTGTCGCTCGAGGGAAGGAAGGACGTGTCGACGAAAATTCGCGCGCTCATCACGGATCTGCTGCCCTTCTCCAAGTGCAACCCGCACTCGGCGCTGTACGATCCGATGGCACCGCGGCTCGTGCACGTCGATCCGACCACATCGGATGAGGCGGAGGTGCGCGCAGCCGAGGAGCCAGTGGTGGTGGTGCAGCGGCCGCCGCTGGGCGTGAGTGGCGAGGGACTATTGGGCAAGCTGGACCACACGATGGAAGCGATCGAGTCGTACGAGCCCATCAAGAGCGTCGTCTTCTCGCAGTGGACCAAGATGCTGGACCGCATCCAAAAGTCGATGTCCATCACGGGCATCCGCATGGCGCGGCTCGACGGCTCGATGAAGCGTGCGGACCGCTCAGCGGCGCTGGAAGCGTTCAAGACGGACCCGGGCATCGAGGTGCTGCTGGTCTCGCTGCGTGCCGGTGGCACGGGCCTGAACCTGGTCTCGGCCTGCCGCGCCTACCTGATGGACCCGTACTGGAACCCGGCGGTGGAGAACCAGGGCCTGGACCGCGTGCACCGCATGGGTCAAACGCGGCCGGTGATCACGACCAAGTACATCATGCGCCACAGCATCGAGGAGAACATGCTGCGGCTGCAGAAGCGCAAGATGATGCTCGCCGAAAAGGTGGGCAGCAAGCGCCAGATCGGCGCGGGTGCGGGCGCGAGCGGTGCCCAGGCGCGGCGCGACGAGCGGCGCGAGGAGCTCAAGATTCTGTTTGGCACGTCGAGCGGCGGCGTGGATCTGTAGCGCACGTTGCGGGCACACACCATCGCACACAGCAGCATGTGGAATGTCGGACTGTGCTTATGGGCGAGCCTGCCAGATTGACGTGAGCCTGATTGCTTTGACGGCGATTGTTTTGCATGGAATGCGCTCACTCGTTGATTTCTGTCTGGGCCCGATGGGGTGTCTCGGGGCGTTGTGGTGCGAAGCCTTAACATCGTGTGTAGGTCGACCGAGTGTGGGTCGGCTGTGCGACTGGAGATGGTCAGGCGTAGCTCAGAGCGGGAGAGCATGCGATGCTTCTAATTGGCGTCTTGCCGAACCCATGATCATGCAATCAAGCAGAGGCGCGACACTGGACATCCATTTATCGTTGTAGCAATTCTAGTAAGCTTCTACTCGGCGCAGTCAAAGGAGCGTCTAGTCTACATCTAGTCCTGAGCGAACCAGGGGTGGAGGAATCGGAGGTTCTCCTTTGCCTTTGGCGTGACGACGCTGGACTTTGTCATGATGCTCCACTTCATCGAGTCCTTGATGGCCTTGACGGCCTGTCCGTCGTCGCCGACGAGGGGGTAGATGGCGTCGAGGAGGGTGGTGGTGACCTTGTTGCTCGCCTCCACATTGGCCTTTAAGCTCTCCATGACCTCTGCGACATTGACTGCAGCGGAGGCGGGGCGCCAAGCGTCGTAGTCGGTGGCGGTGGCGATGAGGACGTAGCTGATTTCGGCCTCTCGGGCGAGCTTGGCCTCGGGGAGGACGGACATGTTGATGATATCGCCTCCCCAAGCGCGGTACATCAGACTCTCTGCACGTGTGCTGAACTGGGGACCTTCCATGCATACAACCGTCTTGGCCTCGTGAATGGAAACGTCCTTGTTGTGTTCTGCAAGGGTCTGCTTGACCACCTGGGCGACGTGGGGACGAAGGATCTCGCAGAACGGATCGCCAAATCCAGCATGTGCGACCACATTCTCCTCCTCACCAAAGCCGAAGAAGCTCGCACGACGCACACCCTTTGTGCGGTCGATGATCTGGCTCGGAATGACAAAGTCCTTGGGCGCAATCTCCTCGCGCAAACTACCCACCGCCGAAAAGGCGAGAATGGCACGAACACCCAGATGCTTCAACGCTGCGATGTTGGCCAGGTTCGGCACGTTGCTCGGCAGAATAGCATGATCGCGTCCATGTCTTGCGAGGAAGGCAACATGATTACCCGCAGCAGTCTTGGCGATGGTGATGGGCGAAGAGGGTGCACCCCAGGGTGTACGGATGTTGACCTCGGCAACGGGCGCGATGCTGTCAAGACGGTACAGACCCGACCCACCAATCACACCGAGAAGTGGTGCGGGACCAGTCCAGGCATCGAGTACGGGTACGGACATCGTGCGAAGTCGTGGATAGAGTAGAGTGGTGGTGGTGAAGAACCGATGTGAGAGCATGCAAGAAGATTGGTCGTACAAGGGGGTGTGCGCGGACCATTCTCGCACGCCATTTTTTTGCACGTGCAGAAATCCCCAGTCCCGATTGCCGACCGACACGTGCAGAAGATCCCGCGGAGGTTCCTCACCACATCCCAACGCTTCGAAGAATGTCGATACACAACACCATCCTGCCGGCGGACTGATGAAATGAAGAAATCAGGATGAATGCATTGGGGTATCGAGATCGAGATGTGCTACTGAGACGATGGATCACTCTTCGCCGTCGTCCTCATCGTCATCGTCGTCATCGTCCTCGTCGTCATCGTCCTCGTCCTCCTCGGCAGCGTCTTCAACAGCGAGCGCGCTGAACAGTGACGCTGTCGAGCCTCCGAGTCCTGCCTGTTCTTCCTCTTCCTCTTGGTCGTCCTCGTCGCTGTCGTTAGTGTCGGGCGCGCCGAAATCGAACCTGACCTTGCGCGCCATGTCGACGCCGTCGCTACTGCCGCCCTCATCCTGCTCGTCGTCCTTGGGCTCGTCCTCTTCATCGTCCGGATTGGGAGCTGTGAGCAGGTCCTCTCCGCGTTCCACTTGCTTCTCCGCATCTTGGATCCAGATACCATCCTCTGCGCCCTCCTCCTGCTCTCCCTCGCTCAGTGGCGGTCTAAATGCCCACTTGATGCGACCCTCGGCAACGGCGCGCATGACCAAATTGCCCGCACGGTTCACGTCCCACCGGTTCGCCTTGGCCGTCTTGTACCCATACCTCCTCGCCACGGCCTCCAACACCTTGACGCCCGTCCATTGCTGTTGCTCCTCTGCCTCTGGGGTGTCTTCGTCGTACGGATAGTCGAGTTGGAGCACGCGCTCGAGCGGGATGTGTTCGGCGACGAAGCGGATGCACGACGAGATGGCCTGCACCTGCGAGATGGCCAGCACGGCACCAAAGACCTGCATCTCCATGCCGATCAGGCTCGGAAACACCAGCCCGGGCGAGTCGCAAAGTCGGATCTGACCGCGGTGGCTTTCCTCGCCCAAGCCGCGTGGCGTCGTGGAGGGTGTGATGGTTAGCGGCACGAGAAAGTGCGTCTGGAAGTGCTTCGTCTTGCCTGGCGTCTTGGAGGCGCGCACGACTTTGGCTCCAAACAGCGCATTGAGCAGACTCGACTTGCCCACGTTCGGCTGCCCGATCAGTCCGATGGTGAGGTAGGGCAGCGGCTGTCGACCTGTCTTGTCCTTCGACTTGGCGTCTTGATCGCGGGTGGGAGGTGCTTCGACTTGCTCTGTCGATTGCGAGTCGTCGACGTGGTCGTCAGGGCCGAAGCCTTCGGTGTGGAGCTGCACTCGTCGCTCCACGCCTTCCCAGTCTGTATCCGTGGCGCACGGCGGCACCCACTGCCTTTGTTTTGCTTCGTCTTCGAGCACTGCTTTTGGCGGCGTGACCAGCTCCGCATGTGCCGTCCTGAGTGCGCCGAACAGGGCTTTTCTCGAGCCGGGCGACAGATAGGGCGCAAACCTCGTCCTCGCGCCCTGGCCCTCCATCCTCTCGAGCTTGGCGTAGCTCTCGGTGGCCACCACCTGCCACCTGGGGAACCTTTGTTTGAGGTACGTCTGCCATGCGTCGACGATGCGCTTGGGCACGATGTCGGCCTTGGTCAGCACGATGACGACCTTGAGGCGCATGTAGCGTTCGAGGAAGCCGACGAGGCTGGGAGGGAGGTGGAGGAGCGGACAACGTGCGTCTGCAAGCACACAGACGAGATCGCTGCGCTCGCAGACGCGCCAGAGCTGGCGGTACACTTCGATGTTGCGCTCGTACAGGCTGCCGATCACCGAGGTTCCGGGTGCCGGGCGGTGGTCGAGCAGCTTGGTGATGGTATCGGCCGAAGCGATGGATGCGACCATGCGGCTGCCGCCCATCGAGGGTGCGGTGGTGAAGGCGGCTTTGTCCTGCGAGCGCGTGTGCGATTCGAGGCCGGCAAAGAGCGGCGACGAGGTGAAGAAGGCGCGCTCGACCACGGCGTCGGTCTTGTGGAGCCACTGGCGGAACACCTCGGCTTCCTGCGAGAGCACGGTCTTGGTGTCCATATCTGCGCGCCACTTTGGACGCTTGGGAAGCCGCAGCTCGCCCGTCTCCTCGATGCCGTCGACGTTGTCCTCGTCTGGGGCAGCGTCCTCGTGGTCGGAGAGTTCTTCGGAATCGGCTTGCTTGGACGGGGTGTCGAGCCAGCCGGCGAGCGGGTGGGACTGGCGCACATGCTGTTCGGACTGTTTCTGATCTAGGATGCGCTGGTGATTCTCTGCGCGAGCGCGGCCGAAGCGCGAGTAGTCAAAGTGGACGAGGTTGGCGGGGACGGGGCGGTAGAGGTGGGCGTAGGAGGCGAGGATGTTGAGACGCTCGAGCACAGGCGGCGAGAGCTTGGAGAAGGCGGATTCTTCGAGCTGTACGGTGCGTTTGCGCGACTCGAAAGCCGCCTGCTGCTCGGGAGGCAGGAGACTGGAGCGGCCCAGCCTGCCTCCTCCCGCTGCTGCGCCGCCTCCACGGCCACGACCTCGCCCGCGACCGTGTCCTCCTCGTCCACCGCGTCCACCTCGCCCATTCGCTGAATCGACATCAGCATCGCCGCCTTTGCGCAGTTTCGCCTTCTGCGCCTTGGACGGCTTCTTGACCATGCTGTAGCTGCGTTGTGTGTTGGTGGGGACGCTGATGGTGCTGATGATGGATGTGACACTCTTCGCCGTCCAAGAAAACTTCCGACCAACACCTCCACTTGGAAATTTCCAAGTCTAATTGTTTGACCGAACAGGCGTCACATTACTAAAGATGAAAAATCGAACGAATGGCCCGACCGCCTGCTGGGAGCTGCTGCTCCATGCTGAGCTGCTTCCCATGCTGCGGAGAAGGGGCGAAACCTGCGAGGCAAATGCTGCACACGCGACTCGAAAAGAAAAAGGCTCGGCTGCTCCACATCCCGCGGCTCAGCGCCTGAGCTCGTTTTCAGCCCTTTTCGGGGAAGCGTTCGCTGCGAGCTGAAAGGCATAAGTATAATAGCAAAGCCGGACGAGGCGAGGCGTTGGTGTCCGGCTTCCGCGAAAGTTGCTGCCCGCCGCGCACAGACGCGTTTCTGCTCGCTCCTCGCTCCACCACATCCATACTCGGGCTCTCTCTCTCCCTCTCGACAGCGGCCGCATCCATCCATCTACACACATCGATACAAGGTCGAAGCAGCAGCAGCAGCGTGACAGCAGACGAGACGCGTCGTGCCTTCCTTCGACACCGCACTCCGGTCCCATGTGCCGCCCATCCACGAGTTGCTCCCCTCCGCGCCAGGCGCCATCCTCTCGCCTTCGGCATTGACCGCATACTCTGTCCATTCTCCGCCTTCATCCTAGCACGCATCGGCTTTCCTCTCGCCCACCATGTCGCAATCCGACCAAGAATGCAAGCATCCGGTGCAGCTCTTTGGCATGTGCGCCGTGTGCGGCCAACCCGTCGATGCAGACTCGGACCAGTCCGCCTCGCTCTCCGTCATGCACTCCAGCGCGAGCGTCAAGGTATCGGCAGAAGAAGCCCAGCGCCTCGACTCCGAGTCCACCAGCCATCTGCTCTCGCAGCGCAAGCTCGCGCTCATCGTCGACCTCGATCAGACCGTCATCCACGCGACCGTAGACCCCACCGTCGGAGAGTGGATGCGCGACGACACAAATCCAAACTACGACGCGCTCAAGTCCGTCGGCAAGTTCCGCCTCGGCATCGACGGCGAAGAGATCAAGGACGACGACGATCCCACCGCACCCAAGGATGCCGCCGCCGCACTCAGGGCATCAAGGGCATGCTGGTACTACGTCAAACCGCGCCCGGGGGTGCCAACCATCCTCAAGCAGCTCTCGCAAAAGTACCAGCTCCACGTCTACACCATGGGCACACGATCCTACGCCAACTGCGTATGCAAACTCATCGACCCGGACGCCTCCATCTTTGGCAACCGCATCCTCTCCAGAGACGAGAACGGCAGCCTCGTCCGCAAGAGCCTCTCCCGCCTCTTCCCCGTCGACCACAGCATGGTCGTCATCATCGACGACAGGGAGGATGTGTGGAGCAACAGCCCTAACCTCCTTCCCGTCCTCCCCTACGAGTTCTTCGTCGGCATCGGCGACATCAACGCAACCTTCCTTCCCAAGCTACCTCCGCCGCCTGGAGGCGCCCCACCTGCTGCGTCCCCCTCCACCCCGGCCACCAAGCTCGACGATGCTGCCGCTGGGGCTGTCGCAGACGCTGCCGCCGACACGGCGGACGCTTCGAGCACCGGCACCAGTACAAACGGCACCTCCGAGTCCATGGTGGAAGAGGCGGTGCAGAAGGCACAGGCCGAGGGGCGCACTGAGGAGGAGCTCGAGGCGGTGCGCCAAGCAGCCGTGCAGTTTATCGCCCAGACAGAAAAGCTGCAGAGCAAGCTCGCCGAACAGCGCGACGCCAGGCCGCTCGCAAAGATGCAGGAGGCGCTCGACGAGAAGCTCGGCACGCGCTCTTCGCGTTCCGGCACCTCGACTCCCAACGGTCACGCAGACTCATCTCCCACCCGTTCGGCTGACCCGGACAGCAGCAGCAACGGCAGCGGCAGTGGCAGTGGCAGTGGCAGCAGTGACGCCGCCGGCGATGGCTCCACCACCACGCCGCCAAGCAGCCCGCCAGCGCAGCAGCAAGACAAGCCGGCCGAAGGTGGGCCACGGCTGCCGCCGCTTCCTCCGCCGCCGCCACCTCTGCCCCCGCAGTCGCACGCGGTGCTCGTCGACAACGACACCGAGCTCACGCGCGTCCAGAGCATCCTCGATGAGCTGCATGCGCAGTGGTATGCGCGGTACGATGCGATGCAGTCGCACGCCGCCGGTGCATCGGAGGCGGTGGTGCACAAGCCGTCGGTGGTGGACCTGATGGGCGCCAAGAAGGCGCAGGTGCTCAAGGGCTGCGTCATTGTGTTTTCCAGCATGATCCCCGTCGGGCATGATGCGGCCAAGTCGGAGCTGTGGGCGACGGCGCGCGCGTTTGGCGCCACGCCCGCAGCCGAGATCGAGCCGGGCGTCACGACGCACGTCGTCTCGGCGCGCATGGGCACGGCCAAGGTGCATCAGGCGATGAAGCTCGTCAAGCAGCAGCGCGAGCGCGGAAGCAACCAGCTCAAGCTCGTCTGGCCGTCGTGGTTCGAGGTGTCGACGTCGCGCTGGGCGCGTCAGGACGAAGAGCTGTACCGTCTACCGCTCGTCGACAGCGGCTTTGCTCCACCACCCGCCCCCGAGCCTGTCAATGGCGGAGGGGCCGTGGACAAGCCGCAGAACAAGGAGGAGGAGGGCGAGACGCTGTTCGAGAGCGAGCTCAACGATATGGACTGGGGCGCTGCCGCCGACGAGGTGGACGCCTACCTCGACTCGGCAACCACTGCCAGCAACACCTCCTCGCCCTCGCCGTCGATGCTTGCGGTGGACCTGAGCGAGGTCGAGCCCATGGCCGAATCGAACAAGCGTGCGCGCGAGGACGAGGCCGACGAGGGCCAGAACAAGCGCCATGCGCCAATACACGACAACAACGACAACAACGACGAAGACGACGAAGACGCCGATTCGTTCCTCGACGACCTTGCCGAAGAGCTGGATGGACAGCTGGACGACGAGTAGTGATCTGGATGCAATGTGTACTTTTATCCCTCAGCTCTCCATGGTCATGCACGCGAGATCAATGCGGGGTCGATGCGGAGTTTCGGATTTGAGCAATGCGTGGTACAAGCACAAAACGAAGCCAGTTCAAGAGAGAGAAAAGCGAGACGACGGATCCATTACTAGATTAGAAGGGGTGAGAGGAGTGGGAGGGGGGATTTAGGAAGCGGCGGCTACGGCCATCTGGTTCAAGCCCTGGTAGATGAGCGCAAAGCTGTCGAGGTTGTTTGCGGCCTCGGGTGTTGGAGCCGGCTGACTCGCCGAGCTGGACGCGCTGGCACTGGACGATGCCGAGCTTTGCGCGCTTGCCGAGCTGGACGATGAGGCCACCGAGCTTGAGGGCTGAGCGGATCGTTGTGCGGACGACGAGCTGGTGGTGGTAGGAGGCGTCCAGGTCCATGTTGGTTGTTGCCATGTGGTAGTAGGTGTGGGACGCTGTCTTGAGCTGGTGCTAGTCCATTGGTTCTGGTTGTTGTTGTTGTCCGAAGAGCCATCGGCGGCGGTCCAGGACATCTGAAACACGCCTAGGCTGGTGCTTGCAAAGGCCTTGAAGAGGCCCTCGCTCATGTCGAGGCCTCCGTAGGGACAGCTGGGGCAGGCGTCTTGGACGGTGGCGTACTGGGTGTTTCCATTGTACGTAATGGCAATCGTCTTGCCACACCACGAAGAGCGCTGACCCATGTTGCCGTACTGCGCCGCGTTGAGGGCGACGATAAAGTCGGAGCCAGAGTTGTAGTTGCCACACGCTCCCAGACCAGCAGCATAGTACGTCGCACGACCACTGTACGTCGGTCCACGCTTGGTGAGATCCGACGGGCCGGCGTTGTGGTGCGATGCGCGACGAGAGTGCTTGGGACTACGAACAAAGTGCGAGTCGTCCGCCTGTGTCGCAACAAGCCCGGACGCAACAAGAAGCGCCACACAAAGCGCCTTGGTGGATGAAAGTGTCATGATGGCAAGGTGATCCCGTAGATGATGGCACAGCTATTTCAGCGCGCGCGATAAAAGTCGTCGATGTACGGAGGTGGTGGGAGAGAGAGAGAGATGGGATGGTGGGATGTGGTAGGGATGGGGGATACGATGTGCCAAAGCGGAGGGGGCTGGGCGTCCATACAAAGCATATACCTGCGCCCCGCCGTTCATTTGCTCGCTTTACCACGCTCAAGCACTGCGGGGGAGAGGGGAAGTTTGCTGATCGACGCTGTCTCTCGTCGATCGCGGTTCGTGGACTGTTTTCGGCAGCTGTGCTCGCAAAAGAAGGGGGGGCTGCTCTGATGATCAGCAGGGCTTCTGCTGTTCAGGAACAACACGGCCCTCGCTTGAGCTTCAGCAACAAGGGGCAGGGAGGACCGATGGAAGAAGCCAACGGCAGTGCGGAGTTTGAAGGCCAGCGGCCAACAACACCGTGCAGATCCCAATCCAACATCCACCGTTTCACATCCGACGCGCACCGCGCCTCTGTGCATCTTTGCACCCAACATCGCTTCAACAGTAAAGCGGCAGGGCAGGGTCGAACCGCTATCATACGGTTCAGCCGCTTAGCAAATCCCGGGCGATCGTCCAGGTATGATGAAAGCGAGACAGTAGACAAAGGGCAAGGTAGGAGAGGAGAGCTGCGATGTTGATCAGACAGAGATTTTTAGGTTCATGCAGCCTCGAGCTCGGTTGCAGCGCCCCGCGCAGATGGGCTGGGAAAAAAGAAGGCATCCACATGTTCTTTTTCCTTTTTCCAATGCTCGACTCGGCCGCGGAAATGCACCACAGCAGCAGCAGCGGCAGCGGACCCGAGCTCCGCATCACCGATTCCTCCGCAACACTCCGTACGAGAAGCGGCTGAACAACACGCAGACGCGCTTGCCAAAGTGGTGTTGCAGTGTTGGTCTCCGCCTCTTGCCTACGTCACCTGCCTTTCTGCATAGAACATCGCGCTTGTTGCTCCGTCCATCGTAGCCCTCGTGACGTAGTTGACTTTCGCGGTACAATTTTGGTCTGAAAGGCCGAGTCGCCCTCGACAACGGAGAAGCCCAGCTGCATGCTCGTTTGTGCACGATGGCGCGCAGATGATTCGATGTAGGCAGGTCACAAACAAGTGCAGTCCCGTCGAACGCGATGCCTCATCGAACGGCTGTGACGCGCGTGCCTGGTGGCTGCAGTGCCGAGCTGTCAGCTGACCCGTCGTGCAGACGCTTTTGCATCGAGAGCACCAAGCCCCTTCTCTCGCATGTACCGCAGATCGTCGTGCATTTCCTTGCGCTCCAACCCGACCGAGATGGGCGAGCCGATCATCGGTCCGATGACCCGAAAGCTTCATCGGGATCGGTGCATTTTGTGCGCCGTCATTTTCGCCATCATTTTCGCCTTCCTTTTCGCAAACCTGGTTTGAAAAGGACCACAAAACACGGGAATGAGATTTGACCAAGACCTGCCACGCCGGTCTAACAGCCCAAGGTTGGTGTGTGAGAGCGACGAAAGCAACATATGGCGAATAAAAAAGCCCATGCAGACACGCACGCTCAGGGTCCACGCGCGCTGCTCCACTTTGCCAAATTCCAGTCAACGCTGCAACGCCTCGCACAGTTGCCACGGCTGGGCTGCAGCCCCTGCGTACGCCCGGACCCTGCCGTGGCACCTCTCCAAGCCGCCTCCGCACCGACACTCGTTCTTCCACCACCACCACAGTCACACCCTCTCGCCACCGCACCCGCTCCAGCCAAGTCGCCAACAGGGCAATGCCTATTTTCAACACATCCACCCGCTCATAGAGTAGAGCACGCACCGAGGCTCGCGTCGCATCACCAATGACCAGCGTCGCAGACCACGGCGCTCTGCCGGCGTCGACGTCGATGTCGGCTGCGGGCGAGGGCTTCACCTCCTTTGGCTTCTTGGACGACACGCATGATCCACACGAATCCTCATTCGCGCTCGGCACGCTCTTCAGTCGCGTCAAGTCCGCCCTCGCTGCCGGCCTCACCCTCGATCCCGACTCAGCCTATAGCGCAGCTCACGAACAGCCCGATGCTCCATCTACATCACGCCACAGCTCCGGCTCATACTCGGCAAAGTCCTCCACTGCAAGGCCGCAACCATCACTGTCAACAGCTTCCACCACACAGTCCACGCATTCATTCGCGTCCGACGCTTACAATGCTCCTCGATCAGCAGGTCCGTCAACTAACAGGCTCGCCTCCATGCCACTACACAGGAAACCTTCCATGGCAAGGCCCGCGCGAGGGCTGAGCAACATCGAAGAGTACCCAGAGCCTGGACAGGCCAGGCATCGCACCATCTCGCCCTCGCGCAGCTCCGGCCTCAACGACACGGCGAAGCCCTACCGAGACATCCTCAGCCCAGGTCGCTCAAGCCACGCACGCGTCGCCGGACTTCGCGATCCCTCCAGCTCAGCATCCTCATCGATCTCTCGCTTGTCCAGCAGCACAGCCGCCCCGTCGCGCGCTTCAAAGAGCCGAGGCCTGCCGCTCACCCTCAGAAGCGTCGCCCCCGCCCCCGCAGTCACTTTCACCTCGCCCGCCACCGCCATCAACGCCCGCTCCCTCCTACCCGGCCTCGCTGGAAGCTACACCGACGATCGCGAGTCCGTCGCTGCCGATGACGGAGACATGGACCCCGACTCGTCCCGCGACACGTTCTCCATCCTGCGCGCCGGCGGTATCGACGGGACCATCGACCGTTCCCATCTTGCCAAGCACGGCTGGTCGGCCATCCCAGGCTTCCCTCTCTCCAAGGACATCCTTGCCGACGACTCCAAGTCGATCCGCAGCAGCTCCACCCGCCTTCATAGAAGTGACACCATCGAGGAGCAGCTCTCCAGTCGCTCCGCCGCGCAGATCGGCCTCCAGACCAGCGCAGACGCCATCGTCCGCCGCATGAGGGGCGAAGGCCTCAGCCGCAAGTTCTGGATGGCCGACGAAAACGCAAAAGAGTGTCGCGAGTGCCTCTCCATCTTCACTCCCTTCCGCCGCAAGCATCACTGCCGCATCTGCGGCCAGATCTTCTGCGGCAGGTGCGCCGCACACATCCTCAAGGGCAGGCGCTTCAACTTTGACGGCATGATCCGCGTCTGCAACTTTTGCAAGCGCATGCTCGAGGAGTACGACCGCCACGAGCGCGAGAGCCAGCACCACAACAGGCTCAACACCGTCGCCCAGCGCGCCAGCAAGAATCCAAATCGCATACAGCCCGACAAGGACATGATCTCCGCCCCGCTCGAGGCCCAGATCCGCAGCCCGCAGGCTCAATTCGCTGCAAATCATCTCTTTGCCAGTGCATCCGCAGTGCCGTCGGCTTTTGGCGCAAGCTTGAGCGCCAGCATGTCGGCGCCGTTCGGTTTCACCGATGCTGACTCGGTCGTTGGCGATACGAACGACACCACAACGCGCGACAACAAAGATGGAGCGGCCGAGCAGGCACGCAAACGCAAGGCCGACACCGGCCTCGTTGCGCCGTTTCGCAAGGGGATGGACGAAGAGGAGCTTGCACCTGCCCGGCCTGATTCCGACGACGAACAAGTGGCGGCCAACCTGCAGCAAAATGGAAGCGCCATCGGCTCCTCGCACCACACGCCTGCCCCGGGTAGCCCGGCTACGGCTGCTGCAGCGTCGCCTTCGCAGTCCAGTCTTGCTGCTCGCAACGGTGCACCAGCCTCTGGCAAGGCCAAGGGCGGTGCGGCGAGCATCGCCTTCCCGTCTTCCTCCACCCCTGGCAAGGAGTTTCCTTCGGCCATCCAGTCGACGTCCGACTATCAGCGCCTGCGCCTCGTCAGCGAGACGGCCAGGCCTGTCAACCGCTCACGCATGCGCTCGCTGCGCACCATCGCCGCGCTCGACCCCACTCAAGCCAGCGCCCTCATCAGGTCCCACTTCCATGGCAACGGCCGAACCGAGTCGCCTGTTCCTCCTCTCCTTCATCACGCCCAAGAAGAAGCAGAGGCCGCTGCAGATTCCACCGAGCCGCCCGAGTTCTACCGCGACCTCCGCATCTGCTCGGAAGGCATCACGCCTGCACTGCTCGAGGCGTCCATCACCCACCGCGCGCTCGACCACCTGCGCAAGATGATGGAACAGACGCTCACTCAGTCCGGCATCCACAACGTGCGCAAGTGGTGCGATGTGCTCTTGCCCTTTGTGCTCACCACCATCTCGCGCGTCAAGCCCGATGCGCGTGAGGATCAGAGCCGCGACATCCGCGAGTTCGTCAAGATCAAGCGCATCCCCGGCGGCAAGCCCGACGATTCCGAGTACGTCGACGGGTACGTATGCACCAAGCACGTGGCCACCAAGCGCATGGCGTCGTTGATCCCGCTCACCAATGCGCGCATCATCGTGATTCGCTTCCCGCTCGACTACCACCGCGGGCCCAACCAGTTCATGTCGCTCGAGCCGCTCATGGCGCAGGAGCACGAATTCATCCGCATCCTCGTCGCGCGAATCATCGCGCTCCGCCCGCAGATCGTCGTGGTTGAGAAGGCGGTCTCGCGCACCGCGCTCGAGCTGCTCGAGAAGGAAGGCATCGTGGTCGTCTGGAGCGTTAAGGCCGACGCCATCCGCGCCATCAGTCGATGCACCCAGGCCGACGTCATCACCTCCATCGACAGGCTGGCGCTCGACCCGCGCGTCGGAAGGTGTCGCTACTTCAACGTCGAGACCTTCCAGCACGCATCGTGGCCCGGATGGAGGAAGAGCTTCATGCGCTTCGAGGGAACGCCCAAACAGCTCGGCTGCACCATCGTGCTCCGTGGCGCCGACGGCGTCAAGCTCAGCCGCGTCAAGAAGATCCTCGCCATGATGATCTTTGTCGCCTACAACCTCCGACTCGAGGGCTACGTCATGGCGGACGAAGGTGCCGCCATGGAGACAATCTACTCGGACAGCGCGCTTATCAACGGGTCCCATCCTTGTGGGTCCGTCGAGGCCGGCACGTCGGACAGCGCGGCG